GATTTGTATCGACCCGATTTTTTTTTTAAATATCTCTTATCTTTAAAAAAAATTGTTTGGAAATTACGAGCTTTTAAGTGCAACCTAGAGCTTTGGTGAAAATATGACCATGTTGCGGTTATTGTGTTTAATTTTTATTAATTTTGTTTATTTAAACTTAGGATTCGTACACCTGAAATAATTCTAAGGGTACAGTTCTAAACTTCTAGAACCCCAGTAAAAAATAATAACACAATTGCCCCAAGCTTTCAATAATTACAACTTTTTGTCGAACTATGTATTTAAAATCGGTAGACTTTGAGAGCTCTCATTTTAAAAAAAAATGTACTTAAGTTTTATCAAAAGTTGGCTCATTTGATCAGAATATTAAAATGGTAAAATACTTAATAATGTTATTAATGAAAAATTTTGTATAAAAAATAAAAACCGAGAAAAAGCACGATAACCGGGTATCTAATTTTGTTCACATTTAATTCAAATGTTTTTATCTGAACTACATTGTGTAAAATGCACTAGTAAAAATCATGTCTTTTTTAGTGTTTTATCAAGTATTTTACTATTTTACAATCTCCATGTTTTGATTGATTCAAATAGCTACTTTGCAAAAATTTATCAAAATATGATACGGTCAATAGCAATGAAATTTAAATTTGTTATAAGAAGATACCTATAATTTCAAAAAGTATGTATGTAAAACTTTATTCCCGATTTGTATGTGGAAAATGCAAAAGCACGTATAGTATACCTATAAAGTCATTATGCTTCACAAACTTTGAATATAACTTACAATGTTCTATAAGTCAATTTAATTAAAGTGCTATTAAGCAAACTTTTCTTTCAAAAGAGTTAAAGTTTTACTCAATAGTTTATTTCAATTAAATTCTACCATCCGACTTTGTAATGTGTATATTCAGACAGCTGTGAAATGTTATTAAAACATATTTTACAGGAGGCAAAAATGTGCTATTGTAATTTTTGAATAATAATAGACATATGAAATTTATATAAATATACATCAAATACAAATATATATATATAAAAGTTAATTACAAATTATAATATTCAATGAGATTTTTAAATATAAGAGGTGTTGTGATTTAACTAATATTTAAAATATCAACTAAGAGCAATTATGTGAGAGTAATATATTATATATTAATAATTCTAAAAAAACGTCCTATCGAGTTTTAGTCCTTTTTGAACTTAATCAAATGGCCTTAAAATTGTTGAAATTTGGTTAAGTTGGATTTTCTGGCGTAAACACAAACATTTTTTTTTAAAGAACATGTAAGGAACTTAAAAATAATTATTGCGTAAAATATTTCAATTATCGCTGGAACAAAGTGATCATCCAGAATCACATCGTTATGTCGCCTCGCGGAATTATATGTCCTATATTTAGCCAACAATAATACAATGGTTCGAAATTGTTTAGGACTTCCCGTAACATGCCAACTGATTCAAAATGTTGAACGTTAAGTGATAATGCAGCCATTGTTTTGTTACATAACCGAGACAAAAGTTATACAGGTGAATAATAATCCTTTGTGCCATAGTTATATCACTGAACCCACCTACCTGGATCTGCTTTAAAAACATTTGTAAAACGGAGCTTAAATCGCAATAAAAGAAACATACTGAAAAGAACTATTCGTATTCAGATGTAAAGAGAATATGACGTTAACTCGTCAGTTTGGTATAATTTTTACTGGAATATATATTTTATTTTTCAAACGTGAGTTTCGGTTTTGAAAACGGACATGTTCACTCACCATCATCTAACCCGTGTATATAGATGATAAAATTTACAGAAATGTACCGGTGGATTATTATTTTTGATTTTTAATAAAATGCTTGTAAATTTTTGCATTTTGTTCGAGTATTTGGTCAGTGGTCATGAATGATGGATTCATCTCAAAACTCTCATTGACATTCTTTACATGAATTTTTTTTTGTGATTATATACAATTTGAAAATGCTGTTTTGGATTAATTTCATAAATGAAGTTTTAATCACTAATAGAAAAAAGAAAGTAGTAAAAAAGTAAAGAACTAAAATTTACATAATTTTTATTAGTGCATTTTACTCACAATCAGTTCAGAGAGAAGCATAAAATATTAATCTACTCTAATCAGTTATTATTGTTTAATTAACTTCACGTTGGAGTTTATGCTTTCAAGTAAATTCCTATTTCATAATTTATTACCTTCTTGACGATTGAAGTCATTCTGAATCGTTTGAGACCAATTTTCTAAAAATTGTGTTTGTGTGTGTAAAAATGCGTGCGTGTGTGTGAGCCAATTTTTTTCATTGATGAATCTTTAAATGAAGATAGAGTTCATGGTTTTCCTAAAATTTTATAGACCTATGAAATTTGTGTTCATTATAAAAATTCATCGTGAGCCGTGTCAAAATTTCAATATTTCCTTATCACAAATTTTAAATAGCATAAATTTTAAAACCTAGTGATGAAATGAATATTTTGGCATACCTTAGAAAAAATGGATGTATATGTGTGTGTGCGGATGCAAATTTTCGTCCGCACACACACATGATTTCTGGAACACCGATCAATGACTATGGACTTTCAATGAAAATAAGTTAAAAAAATGTCATTTGGCGGTCAAAAATGTTCATTGGACATACGTACATCAAATTATCAGATATTTTATAGAGATTTTGATAATGTGTACACATTTTTTGTAAATTCTTTTTGGATTCTGCGGTCTACTAGTTTACTGATGTTTTATATCCTATGAAATTGTATTCTATCTCAAGATTTTGATGTATTATACGATGGAAAACTACTAAGACGAGAAGACATAGATGCTCTGCCTCTTGAAACCCGTAAACCGATGTTGGCGGAAAATAGCGACATTATACATCCAGATTGATTGTAGCGTAAATTGTCTCATACTAGTACTCTCAAAACACCACAATACCGAGCTCTCTTCATATATTTCACTATGTACAACGTCTTAATTGTACAGAAGCGGATTTAGCAAATTTTACTTGTAGAAATACAGCGGGATAAGTAAACTAGCAAAAACTCTAATTACTTATACAGTAATCTTTAAACGGTTATAACTCCCGAACGATTTACAATAGGACTTTGATGTCTTAGGATGAAATATTCTAAATCTAATTTCAAAACAAAGGTCTTTATTCCAATACAACAATTTTTATGATACCTTTCACCGTTCCCGAGATATTCGCCAAAAACTGTTTGAAATTTTTAGGTTTCAATGGATTAAACGTCTATAACTCGGAAACTTTCCAAGATAAGGCTATGATGTATATGAATGAAATTTGCGTATTTAAAATATCTATCAGCTGGTGAAAATTTATAATAGTTATAACCGTTCGCGTGATATTTGCTAAAAACCATTTAAATGTATCTATCTAGATATATCTATCTAAATGTGTCTAGATATATCTTTCATACTAATATATTATTCTTATTAATAAATTGTGTATTGTGGGAAACCTATACAATTAATTCTTACCCTTACAGATAATCTATTACCTCTAGATTGAACCCGGGCATTTAATTAATAATATATTTTTTGTTAATACTGTTTTTTATGCGACTTCTTTAAGAACATAGAATGTGATATTTAAGTATACGTAAGGCTATGCACATACACGAAAAGAAACTTATGACGTAAGGGTTATCGTATAAGAAATGCGAATGTTATATAAATTTAATTCATAAATATTCTTTTTTTCCAAAATATTGAATATATCTATCACATTCAAATTATCCAAAGCGAATGGGTTAGAGTCGTGTCATTCTTTAATTTGCCCCACCCTGTTTTTAAAAATTGTCCTTCTGCGGGGCGTGCGCTAATTTTTAGAATTATGTACATTTTTTTTACATTTTTGCTGTACTTTTATAATGTTGATAAATTATAAAAAAATAATAGTAATAGAATTTATTACTTTTTAACGATGATTTAAAACTGACCTAATTTCATACCTCTATGAATACCTCCTCAAACCATTTATCTTTGATGAAGGGTTTCAATCATTCAATCAACGTTTGATCTCAAACTTTGCAATTTTTACGTAAAACGTACATCTCGTCTTGTTTATATCCATTTGTGCTATATCTAGTTCCTCTGTTCTATAACGTCTGCTATTTTCTCCAATGGTCGGGTGCTGCGGTACCTTTAATTGAATTAAGCACGAGCAGAAATGCAATTGGGCGTGAGCAAGCGTTTATATATTTAAATGTAACTTGACGTTTAATATACTGCGAACAAGGAAACCCAAGAAACGAAACGTATCTACGTCCCACGCCGGCGTAAATTGCATAAAACTAGCGAATTATAGCTCGTTTGAGATCCGTTTGCCAGTTGATTATAGTGAGGTTGATGTAATTAACTGTAATGTGTATATTACAATACGTGTTAGACTTCAGCTGAAATTAGTTCAGCAAGATAAGAGACAATTAATATATGATATATCCTACATAAACCGAATTTTTGTCTTACATCCAAAAATATTAGGGAAACAGAAATCGGTATCAATAAGCACATATATAAAAAAAAAGAAGTCAGCAGCCTGTAATGTTTGCAATTCTCTATATGAAAATGTTATTTTAGTTGATAAGCCTACTTGGTTGTCTTAACAAGATTCTAGAATTTAGATTCATGCTTTATCTCACGAAAAAAACCACAATGCTTTGGCAAAATATTGCAATATTTGGAATGTGTCCTGAAAGTTACACGAGCTCATAGAATGGTTAAGTAGCTTTGTTTTCTAATTCATCCATTCATTGAAAAATCAGCAAAAATATCAAAATTTATATTTTTATCATATTACAGCAGATACATTTTTTAATAATCTCCTTATTATTCAAACAATTACAAATATATTATTTATAGTAACCAGATGAATAGATTGATCAAAAATAATAATTAAAATTATTCTTATATATATATATATATATATATATATATATGGATGTTTTTATAATATAAATCAATTTATTTTAGTTATTGCACATGGACATGACAACGTCCACATCACTCCAAATGCTACTGAAATCGTGAGATTCGTCAATGATAAACATATGGTCACTTGTCATGGCCATAAAGGAACGAAGGTAATCCATGAATTTCAATACGTTAAATTATCGATTATTTGTATGTTTTTTGTGTAATAATATTAATTATATAAATTATATTTTATTTTTAAAAATTTGCTGCAAATTTTAAATAAAATTTAGCGTTTTTCAGGTCGAGTTGTGGAAATATTTCATCATTATTAATATTTTTTCAAAATGTTACTTGTTCATGGTTAATGTAGTTATATATACAGAATTGAAATATTTGCTATGATATTAGCACTAAGGAAAAATCTCTCTCAATGAATTTCCTTGGACTAGTCGGAATTTAAATTACCATTACAATTAGATTTATGCTATCAATTGGCTTGTTGTAACTTCTATCGGTGCAAGTATTAACGATAATAATATCCCTAATAAATTCTTTGTTTATTTTTAAGAAAATTGACTTTTTTCTCATGAATCAACCCAAACTGTAATTATTAACATAATACAAATGAAACGTACACAGTCTTCTGTAAAACAATTTACATGTACCCGCATCTTACAAACTATTTATATCTACCAATCTTCTTCACTTGAATATGTACATAAAATCATATTTTTATTGTAGTATTTACTTTTCAACTTACCTTTCTCATATAAATCCTATTCTTCTTTATAGGTTTTTTCGACTTATCTTTATTCTTACCTTTTTTCTCCTTTTTCATATTCTTACTTCTTTTACTACTTCAATTTTTTTATTTCAATTTTAATTTAAAATCTATACTTTCTGATAACTTATACATTCTAATAATTTTTTACATACATGCTATAATTGAAATTCTTATACATTCTGCTATTTTACGTATCACTTATTGCATTTCATGATTCCATTATTATTAACTACTCAATAATATTAATTTTTTATGAAATTGCCAACAATTTTAACTAACCCTAGGAGCGATTTTTTACTCAAGACACATAATTAACATCATGTTTACATATCTAATTGAGACAAAGAAATTTGATTAATATCGTTTAAGATCGTATTGAAACCGCGTGTTACTACTTACCCCTAGCTCCCCTACATATTACAATACTATATTAAATTACGTGAATAGTAATTGTACATATTAAAACATTAACCATAGATAAAACAATGTTCTTGGTTATACACATAAAACTAGAACATACATTTTTCATACAATTTTAACTTTCCACTATTGAGACATCAATTATTTTCCATATTTATATAAAATTTTATAATAGGTGCGATGGCTAAATCCACGCGGTGACCCTGTCACCGAGTCCCGGGGTCGAATTCACGTCGAGCCGCGGCCAGCTATAGCACCAGGTGCAAAAGCTCTTGTCTTTCTTCACATTGCTGGTGTCGACCGCGGATTGTGGGTGTGCGCCGGGGACGGCGGCGGCGGCGGATCACCTGCCGAACAGCGGAAGACTTTTAGATTAATAGTAAACGGTAAATTAATGGAAAATTATTATTAACACTTGCCTATTATTTGCTGAATACTCTTGTACAGTAGAAACTCTATTAACTGGAATAATTGTTGTAGCTAGACTTAGTCGTAGCTTAGTTGTAGTATGTATGTGCGCCGATGTTTTTTTTTTCTCGGCATTTTTTCAAAAACGGGTGGACCAATTTCAAAAATTAAAAAGCCGTCGATGAATTGGATAACGACTAGCGTTCGTCATTTGGATATATTGGAAACATTTATACTAAAATGCTAAATTCTTTGAAGATTTTGGAACCCTAAACTTTTTATCCTAATTTTCTACAACTCAACTATTTTAATTTGGTTTTTGTAATTAATAAAATATTGCAGATGTTCAAAAATATTTAGTCCTTAAATCTGTAGAAATTTTTAAAAATCTTTTATTAACTTCCCCTAGGGCAAGTTATAGTAATCGCAAAAAAAATCGAAAATGAAATTTTTTATATATCTTTACGTTTCAGAGGTTTCTGAACATTTTGGCATACCTTAGAAAAAATGGATGTATGTGTGTGTGTATGTGCGTGTTTGTGTGTGTGTGCGGATACAAATTTTCGTCGACGATTTCGGGAACACCCGATGAAGCGATTTGAATAATTCAGAAAAAATTCGATTCTTTTTGATAAGGAGACGTGCTGATTAATTTTTGGTGAAGGTAGGTTTAGCCGTTCCGAAGATATGGAGCAAAAAGTGCCAAAAACGGTAACTCAGTTTTTAAGAGAATGGAGAGTCCGATTTGAATAATTCAAAAAACATTTTACTTGTATTGACAAGACGAAGAACTGATAAAATTTTCATGAAGGCAGGTCTAGCGGTTTCGGAGATCTAACAAAAAAAGTAAAAAAAAGCCATCTGGCGGTCAAAAATGAACATTAGACAAATGCACATCATATTATCAGATAATTTATAGAAGTTTTAACAATAAGTATAAATTTTGTTTACATTCCTATGGGTTCCATACCAATGTTTACGCGTTAGACGGCGACGCGGCGCTTACGTGCTTTGATATTTCGTCTTTATGCAGTTAAAGCAATACGATTGCTTTGAAAACAAGTTCAGAATTTCCAAAATATTTCAAAATAAATGATTTAAGATAGAATGATTTAATATGGTTCGAAATTTTATTAAAAGTTTCGAATCATTGATCAACTTTTCTTGATTATTATTGATTATTTTTAATTACTCGAATTTTGAATTGCGGTACAGAAAGTTCCAGCAATTTGCCTTAAGGCACGATGCGTTAATTGCCTTAAGACAGAATTCCACTTACAGCTAGTTTTTATTCTAATTTTTGATTCAGTTATTCTAATTTGCATTTTGCCTAGCAAAATGATTTGATTCAAAGGCAAATTATATATACCTACCATCCAAAATTATTTATTGTCAATATTTAAAAATATCATTATTGTATAAATTACTGTAAGATCAATAGAAAATAGTAACAATATATAATTTATATATACATTTTTGAAACGATCACATTACAATATTTGTAGATATTTAAACATGGTAATTTCTTTGAAGATTTTGAAAATTTTTGTGCCTCCAATTTTTTATCTTGATTTTTCCAACTCAATTTTTCTTATTTGATTTCGGTCCTTCGATTTACGAAAGTTAACGGGCGAAGTTTATTCGTAAAATTAACACATATTCAATCATGTGTTAGTTAAAAAAAAACAATTATAATCCGTAATTTGTAAATTCGACTATTCTTGTATATTGACACTTCGTGTACCACTTTGAAAAAATCCTGATTTAATACATCAAATTGTAAAATGATCTTAAATGTAGAATGTATCCTAACTGCATTCGCATTACATTTGAATTATACGATTTTCAGCACTATACTGCAATATAAGTATTTCGTATGTTAACTTTACATTAAAGTTGTGCATGCTGCCATCATTTAAAGCTTTCATATAAATTAGGCAAACATGCATGTTTCGTATAGTATGAATGCGTCTAGTTTCAGATTCTTGCATACTCTTATCTTGTGTAATCAAGTATTCTTAGTTTAGCATTGCACGAACTCATTATCTCCTTTGCAACGTAATCTTTTGAATGCGCATATAGTAACTCATTTAACAGAGCGAGTTTCTTGTTGCATCATTTTGAATTAGTCATTATATTATAATTCGTACTAATGCAAACTCTGGAGAGTCTAAAATAATTATAATATTTACCTCCTCCCCCTCATTTATAAATATATAATATATAACAGAACTAGTTGGTATTGGTATTTAGCCTTGAGGCAAGTTACATGAACTTCCCGAAATGTGTAAATATTCGACTTAATCAATAAAAAATAAATTAATTTATGAGTGATTACAAGTACTCCGAGTGAATTTATTGCACATAACTAAAAACGAACGTTAACTCGGGATATTTTCTAAAAGCAAATTTTCAAAAATCAATAGTTTTTATAATTGAACCAGTTTTCGTAGGACGTTAATGGTTCAGTATGTTCATTAAGACCAATCTATCGGTATACCAAGTAAATCATCTAATTTCAATTTTAACAAACGTCAACAAAACTATTCATTTTCTCAAACTTTGATGAATTTTTAAAATTAAACTACTTTTCGTAAGGCCGTAATATTTTAGTAAGTTATATAAGACCATGATATATATCGCCAAAAAAAGTTCCATAAAAATCGACTTAAACTTTTTTTCAACAATTAATTACAAGGTAGATTTTCACCTAAAACTGATCAGTATCATTCCCAACTAATATCTTTCGAACAGTTTTTGATTTGTTAAAATCGGTTCGGTAGTATGAGATTAAATGCGAACGAAATTTTTTAACAGCATTTTCCTAAGGTCATAAGGTACCTACGGTGCAAAAATCATTAAAATCGGACGCAATTTTTTTCCCCACATCATGGTATGATTTCAGTTTTTTCTTATTTATTCGGCAACCGTTGAGAATATTAAAATGCAGTTTTTTTTCATGTTATTCTAGCCCACAAGACAATTCACCTGACGTTTAATTGAAGCTTCTACGTGCCCGGGAAGTCTGTGAAAAATTAAAAAAACTAACTAATTTTTCATCCATTTTTTGGGCATTTTTACTCATGAAATCTTTAAGCAATTATAACTTTTGAACGACTCATCATAGAATATCGATGTTTTCAGGTGAAATATTCTAAATCAAGAGATCTTTAACCTAGTGTGAACTTTTTTAAAATACCTCTTACCGTTGGCGAGATATACCCCAAAAACAGTTTCAAATTTTCAACTTTGAAACAGTTAAACGCCTATATCTCGGAAAATATTAAACATAGGGTCATGATGTATGAAATATGCGCATTTAAAATATGTATCTGCAGGTGCAAAAATTTTTATGATAGCTCTAACCGTTCCCAAGATATTCGCTAAAAACCAATCGCTCCTTTTCACATATTAAAAATGCGTTTTTCTCGAAAACTATTTGAAGTGCGATCGAATTTTTTAATAGCATTTTCCTTATATTATAAGGTATTAACATTGTGAAAATCATCAAAATCGGAAACAAAAAATTTTTACCCAAAATCGGAATACAATACGTGACCCTAGGGTCATGCTATAATTTCAGTTTTTTCTTATTTATTTGGAAACCGTTAAGAATATTATAATGCAGTTTTTAGCCCACAAGACAATTCGGATATAGTATATGATAGCCTGGGCAATTGCTTGAATATGGTATTTCTAAGGCGTTAGATATTGAGTACAATTGTGAGATAGTTTATCATATATACTTACATATATAATTTTTATGGCAGAGCCGATTTCATTCATGGATACACCAAATGAGCAATATGCTCCTGAAAACAAAGACGCAACGGTCCGTTGTGAGGTACGTGGTGATCCTGAGCCAAAAGTTTCTTGGCAACTTAATGGTCAACAAATTGCACGTAAATATCCAATTTAAATCAATGTTAATAATACAACCCTTAATTATGTGTTAATTACATATTTATATGATTGATTTTAGTGCCTAGTGAACGATATAGCAAGTTAGCAGATGGGCTTTTGATAAAGAAAGTAACAATTAAAGATAGAGGTTTTTATACTTGTAAAGCATATCAAGTTTCGACTGCAGTCAGTAACGTACAAGAACGAACAATTAAACTAAATATCCAACGTGAGTTTATTTCTGGTTTTACACTTTATAACTATATAATTTAATGACTATTGTGCAATCAAACAGATAAACCGATGAGTCCTGCAAATCCGAGACCTCAGCTGGTTTACGGATTTGTATCAGGAGTTGTTAATGTAACATGCGAAGCCCTAGGAGAACCACCAGCTAATTTCACCTGGATGAGAAATAAAAAGCCTCTAAAAGAAGCAATAGTATTCAATTCAGAACATTCAACTACGTTGCAGGTAAAGTGAATCAATAATTTAAGAGTGGTGCTTTGGTTTTTTATCCAATTCAATAAAAGACTTCATTTTTATAGTTACCTATTACGGACTCTAATGACTTTGGAAATTATACGTGCAGAGCAGCAAATTTTCTCGGCTATCTTGATAGAACAGTAACAATTAAGGAAGGTGCCAAACCTGATCCGCCCGCTAAAGTAAGCAACTTCTATCTTTAGCAGTACTTTTACTTTTTTCCAGTTCAATTATTATTTGATTAAGATTACTGTTATATATACATATATTTTAATTCTATAATTATAATCAATGCTCTACTATTCATTAGGTTTTACTGCGGACCGCCGGTGCTGATTCTCTGGAATTTGAAATTACTGGTCCTAAAAATCCACAGCCGATTAAAGAAGGCAAAAATGAAGTAGATATGCGGATATTAGGTTTTAGATTTCAATATGCGCCTCTTGCGGATTGGGGCGAACAAAAGGATGATGTTTGGGCACATTCTGGAGAAATTGACATTGATATAGAGCAAGGTTGGTATAAATGATTACAATACTCATGATTAAGCATACTGTTGTTAATTTCCTAAATGAGTTTGGTTTTGCCAAAAAAAATCGATTTAGTAATTTTATGTTTTTCGATGTTTCAAATGATTCGGATCTGAAATAAATGACGTAAGGAAGTATTCTAGTGTAGAAATACAAAAAATAGTTTTCAAATTTCCCAATTTTAACTATTTGATAATACGTGTACGAAAGGATTTTTAATCATTTAAATTATTTCAGAAGAGACAGCCAAATGACAAATATAGCCAAATATAAAAGATAGATGAAAGCGTTTTGATTTTTGAAATCATATCGGTACAATAGCATTTGTTATCTTTTCAGTCTGCAATGGTTCCCAGAAAGGTTTTGCATATATTAATTTAGATTTTTATACCAGTTTATTTATATTAATTTAAATCAGTGTGTCTTCTTTTTGGAGAAGTAACTTTCTCTACTCAAACTTAAAAAAAGAGTTTTAAACGCAAGAAGCTACACATTAAAGAACAAAAAACTTAGAATTATTATATCAGGCTTTAAAAACAATTAAGCATAATTTGGTCGCAAGTATGAGAGTATTTTCTATTTCAGGAAATATTGCGAGTAAACAAAGGATACGTCTAAGTAGCAATTCGATAGTCGTTCTAAGTTTTTTTAAATCATATTTTATTAAACAAAAAAACAATTGGAATGTTTAAAATTAATTAATTAAAACTGCTCGGAACAGACAATATACGAGTTTAGCTTAATTGTTTTTAAAACAAATTTATATTAACAAGTATGTATCAACATGTATTTTTTTTTAATTTAATGAATTTTTTTTATTTAAAAATGTAATACTTTAATTTATTCGAAAACTTTCCTTTCACTATTATACAAATATTTTTATTCTTATGTGTGAAAATGATGCATGAATAACGAATAATTATTTTCAAAGTTACTTAATCCAGATAAACTATTATTTTTTGGTTTTACTAATTAAAATTAAAATAATTTTGTTTAATATTAAATAACAATTGCAAATTCAGTCGAATATTGCTCTAAATTACACTAAATTTGCGGATAAATTACAGAATACTCGAGCAAAAATTTATATTCTATATAAAATTAGAAAACCGGTTAAAACCGGTTTTTAGTAAAATTAAAATTCCAAAAAACCGGTTTTCTGAAATGTCGATTTTTATATAAACACCTAGTCATGACTCTATTCGGAAGACACAAAACTGTGCGCACTGTTCAATGAGCGTGCCACAGTCAACTGGTTAATCAAAATCCCATCTAATCTTTATTGTCTAATTCTTTATTGTTTTTGATTATATTGATGTTTCAACAGGGGCAAGTGACGGATATGTTCTATCATCATTGAGTACGTCGACGCCTTACATGGTGCGCGTTGCTTCCCGCAATGCTGCCGGACTCAGCGATTTCACGATACCCGTCCGATATTCGACAACTGTCCTGCACGCTCTGGGCGCAACATCGGCCGCCAATATGAAGATCACTATTTTAGCTACAACGAAATTAGCTTTATTTGTATTTTTGTCATTGTTGATTACAAAAAACTTCCTTGTGTTAGTTTAAATAAGCAGAAGCATTCCATGTATATTATAAATGAAATATATCAAGCAAAAATGATAAAAGTCTTGATATACTTCGAGTTTATGACTGAAATTCCAACGCAACTATTCAAATGAATTTTTGAACGCATGCATGGGCAAACTGTAGAATCTAATAATTTGGCAAATATAAACATATATATATAATAAAGTTATAATGACTGTTACTGAGTTGAGTTAAACTCCGAAGAAATGTGTGAGAGATTCTATTGCCATTTCACACCGCCATGCTCGAAATATGCTTATGTTGTATTGGAAACATAATTTTCATCTCTGAATGGACATCGCTGCTTACCGATGTCAGGTTGCTAGAGCGGGGGCTCCAACTTCTGTAGACATCACATTTTCGTTGACATTATGTAGACAGTGTAGCGATTTCGAACCCGCGCTCTGGAATGTCTGATACTGTGCAGTAGCGATGTCCATTTTCAGTAAAATATGAGCTTGGGCGTAATATGTAAATTATATAAGAAACAAGAATGATAAGATGAGTCATGGTGCCGGCAACTGCATAAAAGAACATATGACGTATTGGTCTATATTTTATTAATTTGTTTTGAATTAATATACTAATGATGCGAGAAACTGAGTCTCGAAACATTTATAAAATTTAAAATACTTACTAAATAGTGCAAAAAATGTTGTTTGGCCATATATTATAATTAATTTAATATATATATATATATATATATATATATATATATATTTTTATATTATTCTCAGTTTGCTCATAAATATATTGACATAAACATATAAATATGTCGTTATATATATACAGTAGAATCCGCTTAGTATAACATCGAAGGGTCGTCATCTCGTCATACTAACGGCCGTCATTAAAAGCGTACTGAAGAAAAACTCTTTAATATGCAAATATGTTACATGTTTCAGTAATTTAGAAGAAAAACCTATACAAACGTTTTAAATAAAAATCAAAATGACACATTAAATTATAGGGTAGGGCGGGGCACAACGGTCCAATTTGACTTACGGTAATTATACTGTCTAAACCCAATGAACAACACATAACATACATCAAAGAAGCATCTATCAAACTATGTTCAGAAAAACTTACATACATACGTACATAATTCTTAATTATATAAATATTATATTTTTTACTATTTTTTAAACATTTGGTATCTGACCCATTTTACCTCACATACGGGGTAAAGTGGAACAACCAGGGGGCGAACAGATGCAATTTCTTCTATTAAATTTTAAAGGCATTTTACGCTACATTATTGAACCAATGCAAAATATTAATTCTGTGGGTACAACTGTTACAAAGACAACACAGTATATTACATTGATCTGCTATTGGTCAGAAATATTCATCAGAAGAGCCGGAATAACAATTTATTCAATTAGTCTCTTGTAAAATAGCTTTTTTTAAAGCTTTACTATTTTATTGCTTACACCTTTGCCAAAGTTAAGGTTCAGCTGGTTCTTTTTATCGCAGTCATGTGCTGCTTATCTTCTGATAGCAAAGTCATAAAAATAAAGGTGATGGCTGGTTATGAATTTATACATTTTTCGCCCTCTACTATCAAATAGATATCCGTGGTGGGCCATTAATAATTAGTCTACCCTACCCATAAACATACAAATGTGTTTTTTAATGTAAGTAATTAGTAATTTTTGATTGATTTCTTTACATAATTTTATTGTAAAAACAGACCCTGGTGCTATTGTGCACAAAAGACATAGCAATTGCTTTCGTAGACTTGGCCACATCATCTAAAATCATGTCGATCATTATAATTGGACATATTTTTTGCAAAAATGGGTCATTAAGCGACATGTCAATGTAAGCGATGTCAATATATCCGACTAGACAGCTGTTTTTTTTAAGGAATTTTATATGGAAACCAAATTCGATTCGAACCAAGTGCGATTACGTCATATTAAGCAGTTGTCAATATATCCGGCGTCATACTAATCGGATGCTACTGTATATATATATATATATATATATATAATATATATGTATAAATATATATATATATATATATATATATAACACTGTTTTGAATGGTACTACTTAATTGATGAAATGTGGGTCAATTAGTACATAAATTATAATTTATTATGCTATATAAAAGTTATCATTTAGTTATAATACACATCATTTCATGCACTTAGTTGATCATAGTGTCACACAATATCTTGCAACCGAAAGTTCATTCATTTTATTCAAATTTCTATTAGCTGAAGAAGTACACTAACATTTCTCGTAAATTGTATGAATCTTTGTAGTCAAAAATGGCTACAGCTATTACAATAACCTAATGTGGAACAGAACATCAGTATGTGAATATTATCTAGTGAGTATTCAGCACTTAATGAAAGATTAATGTAATTATTTAAAGCCAATGTTTACTAGATGATACTCTTTGAAACAATTAATTCAATTTTTTTGGTTCTGTTCCAATATAAATAACTCATGCTAAGTTAATTTTATATTTATGAGAAGTTCTTGCAAATATGGATATATATTTGCATATAGAAAAAAAAATCACACGTTTATTAAAAACGTCATTGAAAATTTTAAATCAAATGCTTTTGGTATGTTCCGTGTGATCAAAATATATGATTATTATGGCCACTTTTGTAACTAATAAAGGTATCGATGATATTAATAAATCTTGCATAAAAAGTAACATGCATATTGCATTTTTTATAATTACGAAATAACTTTCACTGCCAACAATAAAATGAAATCACTAATTTCTTCATTTCCGTCAATCCAAATATTTTTTTAGAAAGTTATGATGAAGAATATTGCCCTTCTTCAATTCATGCAACCATTACCCAAATAAAAAGTTATAAACATGATAAATTAATCTCTGGTAATTGTTTCTTTAATATCAATTATTTGTAGTATTTATGAATGAAGTTATGAAATTAATTGCAACTATTAACTATATTAGAGATTTTTATGCATTCAAGCATATAATATACATTATACTATACTATATATATATATATATATATATATATATATATATATATATATATATAGTATAATTTAATAAATAAAAGTTTTGTAAATATTTATTAGAGATATATGAAAAAAATCGATGTTAAGAACATAAATGCATTGTGCAGCTAAGTTTATGAGCTATTTGTAAATAATATATGAAAATAAGCATCTAATAGTTTTATTTGATCATGTTATTTAAGTTATTTCATCGGACTGATATAATATATAGGTGCATAGTCTATGTAAACAAATTAGATAATTCTGAAACGTTTTGTGATGGATTTGAAAATTTATAAAATTTTACTGAATTTTCTTACAATAGTTTTTTCCCAAATTTTTTTTCCAAAATTTTTTTGACCAAAATTTTTTTCCCCAATTTTTTTTTGACCAAAAATTATTTTTCCCAATTTTTTTTTCCAAATTTTTTTTCCCAAAATTTTTTTTTCCAATTTTTTTTTGACCAAAATTTTTTTTTCCAAAATTTTTTTGACCAAAAATTTTTTTCCCAAAAATTTTTTTTCCAAAATTTTTTTGACCAAAAATTTTTTTCACAAAATTTTTTTTTCCAATTTTCTTTGACCAAAATTTTTTTTCCCGAATTTTTTTTTCCAAAATTTTTTTGACCAAAATTTTTTTTTCCAAAATTTTTTTGACCAAAATTTTTTTCCCGAAAAATTTTTTTCCCAAAAATTTTTTTCCAAAATTTTTTTGACCAAAAATTTTTTTCACAAAATTTTTTTACAAATTTTTTTTGACCAAAATTTTTTCCCAATTTTTTTTTTGACCAAAAATTCTTTTCCCAAAATTTTTTTTTCGAAAATTTTTTAGACCAAATTTTTTTTGACCAAAAATTTTTTTCCCAAAAAATTTTTTTCTCCAATATTTTTTTGACAAAATTTTTTTTCCTAAATTTTTTCCCAAATTTTTTCGCATATCAGGACTTCGCTTTATCCGGACTTCGGATTAGCGGAATATCTGAATATCGGAATATCGGAATATCGACCAGAAATTTTTTTCCCAAAATTTTTCTGATCAAAAATTTTTTTCCCAGAATTTTTTTCCGAAAAAATTTTTTTCCAAAATTTTTTTGACCAAAAATATTTTTCCCAATTTTTTTTTGATCAAAATTTTTTTTCCTATATTTTTTTCCCAAAAAATTTTTTTTTTTGACCAAAAATTTTTTTCCCAAAAAATTTTTTTCTCCAATATTTTTTTCCCAAAAAATTTTTTTCCAAAATTTTTTTTTTTCAAAATTTTTTTCCCAAAATTTTTTCGACCAAAAATTTTTTTCCCGAAATTTTTTTTCCAAAATTTTTCTCCCATTTTTTTGACCAAAAATTTTTTTGACCAAACATTTTTTTGACCAAAATTTTTTTGACCAAAAATTTTTTTTCCCGAATTTTTTTTTCCAAAATTTTTTTGACCAAAATTTTTTTCCCAAATTTTTTTCGCATTATCAGGACTTCGGTTTATCCGGACTTCGGATTATCGGAATATCGGAATATCTGAATATCTAAATATCGGAATAACGGAATATCGAAATATCGGAATATCGACCCAAGATTTTTTACCCAATTTTTTTTTTCTCCAAAATTTTTTGAGTTTGATCAAAATTTTTTTTCCCAAAATTTTTTTTTCAAAATTTTTTTGACCAAAATTTTTTTTCCCAAATTTTTTTTGACCAAAATTTTTTTTCCCAAATTTTTTTCCCAAAAAAGTTTTTTCCCAAAATTTTTTTTCTCCAAAATTTTTTGACCAAACAATTTTTTTCCCAAATTTTTTTTTCCAAAATTTTTTTTGACCAAAATTTTTTTTCACAAAATTTTTTTGACCAAAAATTTTTATCCCAAAATTTTTTCCCCAAAAATTTTTTTCCCAAAAATTTTTTTCTCAAATTTTTTTGACCAAAAATCCTTTTCCCCAAATTTTTATTCCAAAATTTTTTGGAGCAAAAATTTATTTTCCAAAAATTTTTTGATCAAAATTTTTTTGACCAAAAATTTTTTTTTCAAAATTTTTTTGTCCACAAATTTTTTTCCGAAAATTTTTTATTCCAAATTTTTTTTGACCAAAATTTTTTTTCCCAAATTTCTTTTTTCCAAAATTTTTTTCCAAAATTTTTTGACCAAAATTTTTTTCCCAAAATTTTTTTGACCAAAAATTTTTTTCCCAAAATTTTTTCCCCAAAAATTTTTTCCCAAAAATTTTTTTTCCAAAATTTTTTTGACCACAAATTTTTTTCCCAATTTTTTTGATCCAAATTTTTTTTGTCCAAATTTTTTTTAGGTACCGAGTTCGAATCTTACCTCCAGCTATTAAACGAAATATCACGTCGTGGTATTTATTTATTGTTGAATAAGAGAAAGTTAATATTTAGATATAACAAACTAACAAGTTATGAGGCCGAAAAAAAGCATAATCCATGCGGCCTGTGTTGGCGTAATTGGTAGAGTTATGGCTTCGTATCAACGAGGTACCGAGTTCGAATCTTACCTCCAGCTATTAAACAAAATATCACGTTGTGGTATTTATTTATTG